AAGAGGAAAGAAAACAAGGAATCCAAGTCAAGTGTACTTCAGATTTAGAGTATGCAAGTTATATTTGTTTTTATTAGCAAAGCAAATTTTTGTCACTGAAGTGTAATCCAATATTATATTGATTAAAAACTGTCAGACTGCATGCTCTCCAAGATATTCACCAGCTTATACAGTTAAGTTCATTATTATTCAGTAAGTAGCTTTGTAACCATGTTAAACAAGGCACACTTACTTTGACATATAAACTGTAAACACATGTAGGAAAAAAAATTCCAGAGAGCGCGTTTTGTTTTCTCTCCTTTTAATATATTAACTCAACCTTGTAACACTTAACAATATCACTGTGCTCATCTTTTCATTATCCGTTACTCATTATCATTATATTCTCTAGTTTTAAGCTCTATACTTAGTATCTAAGTTTTTCAAAAACAGTATCTCCTCCACAGAAAGGCATCACCTACATTTACAGTACTATATCAAGAATTAAAAATTCTCAGGGTACACACTCTGAGCACGGTGAAGGTACACACACCAATATAGAGTGTGTACGCCTCCATAGAGATATTCACATCCAAACCCTTCTGCAGAATATAAATAATTCATGTGCACACCTGAGGTCTACATCAGAAGACATCATGGACAATATGTGGTTTTGCTTTTAAGAAACTTAATTTCAAGAATTATTTAAAGGTACTATTGGAAGGGAGTTTGCACCATCTTTCCAACAAATTTGTGGCTCCAACATTCATCACACCGTTTTCTAAACAATCTTTTAACACCACTGCTGACCAATGGAACCCGGTACATTCCTACCTTGCTCTGTCCCATTAACACAAACTTTGAGGTTGACGTAGGCACAGGCTGGACCAACACACTGACACAAACCACCTCTGACGAGTGTAATTTCTAGCTCTGATCCCTTCAGCTGAAGGAGGAGGAATATTATGATTATTTGAATATTGTTTTATTAAACAAACACAACAACATATTTTCCTTAAATAAACAACATTAAGATCTTGTCGTCTTATACTAAACATGACTTACAATGAAATAGCAACTTTTGCCACATCTTCCTTCAGAGACATATTAATTTGTCTTTAATATATGTTAAAGATATAGCAGTATTTAACACATCAGAAAAACAGAGAATAAACAGCCTGATTTTCACAAGCGATGAGCAGTGATGACAGTCTCCCAAAATACAACCCAAAAGTGAATATCCTTAAGAGAGAAAGACTCTTCCAGAGGTAACAGTGTCTGAAGACAGGACCCTGCTCTCAGTCGCTGTCTGGAGAAGCCCTCACCCCTCTCCAAGGGGCTGCCGTGAACAGCCGGGGTAGTGGCTGCCTTGGTATCACGTCAGGCTTTGTGAATACCTCCCCATTAGCAATTAGTGAACTGATTAAAACTTCAAACATCCCAACAAGAAACGGAACAAGTATCTTCCTTTGCAAATGAGACACAGGATGAAGAGACTTGAGAATCTGCAGCAATACAGCTTTAAGACTGTGCTTTTTCCAAGCACAGGTCTTTTCCTGAACTAATCACTCCTGCACTTAAGACCAATTTTCATGAGAATCACACTCTAAAAGATCTCTTAATTAGAATTTGTAATTAAAGAAATACCATACAGAAATCACTTAGATGAACAACTGATACTAAGTGGCCATTTCAGCCAAATTTTTTGTAAATTTAGAGTCAGTCTTTGTTAAGAGTCACAGTCCAAAGGGTGACCAGCTCAAACTTGGAAGTGCCACTCTTTGCTGAGCTCCTATTACAAATCAGGGAAAGACACTTATGGAGCAGCAAATCTCATTTTGTGTTTACCCAATTCTACCAGCAATTAAAAATTCATTTTTCAAGCAGCTCCTTTTCTTTCACAGTATTGTCTGAGCCACTGCTGATTTTTTTTTGTTGTCTCTCAGAGCAAGTCTTTGGGAGAAGAGTTCATAATTAAAGCTTTCTATCAAGAATTGATCCAGGATAATTTCACAGAAATAAATGATCCTGAACATAATCAAAATACTTGTAGAAAAGACAGACTGCATTTCATTTTTGTCCCAGTCTTCACATACATTCAACATCATGCAGACCTGTTATTCCTTCTAATATCTTCCAGAAATTTGGTGCAATGATCCTGCCACAGCTTGCTTAACTTAGGAACTTACGTGTGGAATTACATACTTCATTCTTTTAACTTGCACCTGCTTTTATATCTAAAAAATCTACATAATCATTACTGTAAAGCATTTTCCATGTCAATGCTGCTTATCAACCCCCACCAACAGAAGACAGTCAATGCATAATTCAATTTGAATTCACCTCTTCATAGTCTTTATGCCTGGAACTGCTAGTGTAAAATGCAGTTACAACTAATAAAGACGACTAACGATAGCCATGTCTGCTGCACCAAACTACAAGTTCATTGCACACAGCTGCAGCTATCCTCAACTCTCCACAAAGGGCCAAGCTTCTACACTGAAAGGATTTCTAAAGAAGGGCTTTTTCATTTCAGATATTTTTATTCACTGCCTTTAATGTGACAAGCTGGCTGCAGCAGAACAGAGTATGGAGTCAAAGATGTGCCCTAAGCAATCCATCTCCGCAGTCCCGGGAAGCGCGACTTCCAAGGAAGTCTTTACAGTTGCCCTGAAATCTCAGTCATCTGTTTCTCTCTGCAACCTCTGTTTTGAAGTCTGAGTACCTGACTAACAATTCAGAGGCACAGTAACCATCTAAATGTGCAGAAGGCAACCCACGCGGCAAAGACCACAGATTAACTCCGTAGGGCGGTACTTTGTAGTGATTGAGACTCCTTAAAGTAAAACAACAACAAACAACTCTGCATTTACTTACAAAATTTTTCTTTGCCTCCCTTTACCATACATAAACTGTATAGCTTCGGTACACACAGCTTCCAATAACTCCCTGCTAATATTTTTGTCTGAAAAAACCTCCGCGCCCAAGGTAGGCGCTCTCAGCTCCATGACCATTACAAGATGATTACAGTTCTATAAACTTAGTCATCAATTGCAATAGCCAGACAGAACTATCTATCTTATATAGCCTTATTTCAGCTATAATTTTTTAGGTTTACGTAGTCTGAAATCCGACACTTATGCAAATGCATAGCCACAAACCTCCTCTCTCTGGTTTACATACTCGCTCATCATTGCCAAAACTGAACAGATGTCTGTTTTTTGCTGCCATCCAGACAACAGCTATCAATGGTATCCATAATAATCAGCACCTTCTGTCAGGGCAAGATTTCATCTTTACATAGACAGCATTACTTAAAACTAATCCAATCTTTCAGCTTTCCACAATTTTTTTCTTCACTAGAATCTGCTAAATTAAGATTTAGAAAACAGAAAAATAATAGTGGGGGGAACCACACTCAGACAGGCATGAAAGCTTCCATGGAAAGACACAGCGACCAACGTTAAAGCTCATGTACTAGGCAATTTCAGAGGCAGGCATCCAGACAAGTGCTTCCCAGCACTCTACATTTTTTTCCAGCTGCTTTTACATTCTAATTCAGATTTGATGTAGACTTAACATCAAACTGTCCATCAGCAGTATCCCAATCAAATAAGTACCTAGAAGAAATAGCAAAATATTTTCACCGATTTCTCAACTGTAATATTCTCCACTTTTACGTAGTGTTTTTCCCTATGTTTGTCACTAAATTAAACTAATCGTTTTGAAAAAGGCCAAACAGAGCTTTGTTTCAAACCTGTACAACTTCACAAGTGTAATTAATAAGTCTAAAACATTTCCTTACACATATTGTTATTAAGATGGATAAAATATGCTCTTTCCTTTCAACTATTCTCAGGACCCCCCCAAGCTATTCTGTAAATCAAGTTTTAACTCTGATATATCATAAGTTCTTGTCTCTCTGGTCTAGCATGACATTTAGATTGAAGAACATTTCAACCAAAATTCTGCTGGAATGCCTTTTGAATATAGTAAGTTTGAATAAAACCATGGCAAAAGTATTCTCAAAACATGTCAGAAGAAACAGTCAAAGAAAACAAAGGAAATAGTTCAAATCTGCTGCTGAAAGAATAAGCCAATCTGCAAAACTGCATTGTTACAAAAGACTGAACTTCAGCAATACGGGGGAGAAAAAACAAGCATCCTCAAACATTAGTAACTGAAGTTGGTCTTAAGCCAAAAGGCAAAATTTAGCCTCAGAGGAAAACATTTCTAATACAAAAGCATATTAACTTAAAGAAATCAGAGCAACAATATTTTTGCTGTCTAAATAATGCACACATAACCGTAAGCTTACACAAACGACTACTTAAGATATTTATTTTGGTACCCAAGCAGCTTCATCTTCAAAAATACTACAGATACAGAGCCCAACTATTTTCTTTTTTAAACCAAAAAGACTAATATAGAAATTTATAAGTATGAAACAATATCCACTATATCCCACAAATAAATATTGACACGCAACTTTTCTGTAATTGAAGTACTTTGTTCCGTTAAAAGCAGATAACAAAATGAACTATGCCGTCAATGCTTTTTCCTTCTTACTTGGGTTGTTTCCTGGATGAGAACTTCTTTTGAGGTAGGCACCGGGTAAGGCTTCAGGGCAGCCTTTATTGTTGCAAGAATGAAATCCGTATGTTCCTTAATAACAGTATCCAGGTAGTCACCTTCTGGATGTGATCTGTAGTACACTGTAATCTCATCTGTAGGAACCAGATTTCGCTGTAGGATACACCAAATGTACTATTAATGACAGCAAGATGACTTTCACATATACAAACTAGAAGAAGGGTACTTGTTAAGTTAAAGAAAAAATATCTTAGGAAGATATTTACCAGACATCTGTTAAAAGTTTCCACAAAAGATATAGAATAAAACAACTCGTCTGTCAGAAGGGCAAAAAAAGAGGCTTGAAACATGGAGAGTTTTTCTTCAAAATATAATGGCCAAATAGTGTACCTTACTCAAAATGTCTCGCTTTCAAATTCATTTATCAGCTCTCCTCCTTAGTGAATTGAAAGCCTACCAAATTTATTAAAATGCTTTTCCTGATGCACGAAAATTTTACTGGTATTTACACATCCTGTTAGCCTGAAATTAAACCCTCAGCTCGTTATTGAACAATTGCTCAATCAGTGACATTTTCTTAACACCCAACAGTCTCCAAGACATTTTGGGATTGTTTTGGAAGGTGGTGACCAGGCTTTTAAGTTTTCACACTAGTTCTGCGACATGTCACATACTAACATATACTTCAAAAAGAGCAATTAATTTGAATGGTATGCTTATTAAAGCTGAATTAGAGCAAAATTCCGCTTCAGTAAGAAAATGGTTTCAAGGAAGAAAAATAGCAGCACCAAGAAAACTTTATTTCTAAAATCTGCTAAAAATAATGACTGCCCTAATGCCACTAATAGTTACTGTGGATCTGGAATCTGTGGTTTTTATTACATGTACGCCTTTATAACAGCGGTGGGAATGAAAGAGTGACGGAATAAATGCACATTAGCATCATGTTAATTATTAGGCAAGATTAAGTATTTTGATATTGATTTAAGTGAAAATAAATTATGATCATATGTCCTTACAGAAGTAAATTTAAATCATCCAGTAACTTATGAGAGAGTTTTCTTTTCATGGCCACATTCCTTCCTGTTTTTATTTTATACAGATATAAATCTACACAGGTTTTTTTAAT